CAAATCGTGTTTCGTTCTTCGAGTTAAGCCCTTTTTGAAAAAGGGCGTGGTCATGGCAAAACAGGGCGTGGTCGGGGCTTAACTCGAAAAGGGCTTAACTCGAGGGGCTTAACTCGAAGGGCTTAACTCGAAGATTCCCGACCTCCAAGTGAGTATGGGTTCAAGTTGTTTGAAGATTTAATCTCGCGGTGTGACCATGCAGGGCAATCTAAGACGAAGGCTAAGATGAAATGTAAGTTTTGTTGCATTGTACTTGTTGTTCTCTGTAGTATCAGAATCAGTAAATAATACCACACAGCAGACAGCATACAATTGCCTGCAACGAACACATGAACATAAGTTGTATGAAATTTGCTGTATATCCAAATACCAGATCTGCATGTATGTCCCATTGTAATGAATATCAACGTTGTTTAAATCAATGTTGAAGGTTTTTTGTTGTAAATGGCCCAGGTGAGTATTGGGGTTTCTCGATGACATCCAACTCTGCAGAGATGTCAGCAAAACTGTTGCCCGTTGGAACAAATGTCCACGATCGAACCAATACGCGTGACATATCGGCATTAATTTTCCACGCTATTGTCACATTTTCTTCTGGGAGAACAACAAAGGTATCACCACGATCGAGCGGAAGGAAATTTGACCTACACAAAGGAATAAAATCAATATATTTTTAAAACTCTAACCAAAAAGTATATTAACCCTTTAAGTGGCATTGCGCTTAATGCGCCCTATACTTTGTCATTACTTACCCCAGCCAGACGATCTTACTCGTCAAGGGGAGAGTGCTGGCACTCAATGGGTTAAATGTCATGAAGAATTTCTTTTTATACATGGGTAACCTAAATCGTATCTGATTGGTATTCGCTACTAGCTAGTAAAACAAAGAACCTGTTATGAGGATTTGGTCTAAATTGGTCAATTTGCACCTATAAATGGAAACGAAAGTTGTCTATTAGTTGTATCGATGCTTGTGCTTTTATCATAAAAGAAGCGTCACAACTTACGGTAATAATGTAACTATTTAATTTACCCTAATTCATTAGAGTTCTACCTTCACAACGAAATAACAAAAAATTGAGACCAAATAAAATGGAAAAAACTAAACCAGCCATCGTACGGAATTAACATATATGAAACAAAGAAAATCTTAATTAATCAATTTATAGTGGAAGGATATGCGACATCTTACATGCAGGGCCGTCCTCAGGAAATTCTTCAGGGGGGGTGTAATTCAATTCAACCGACTGGTTAAAAAAATTTTTCCGGAACAAAAATTTTTTTGTCGACCTCCCCCCCCCCGTCGCCAAAAAAATTTCGGTCAGTGTACGATTTTAGGGGCCCAAAAATTTTTCCGGACGTACAAAAATTTTCCCGAACATCCAAAAATTTTCCGCACATAGCAATTTTTCAACATTTTTTTACATTTTTCCAAAATTTTTCCATTTTTCTTCAAAATTTTCCTAAAATTACCACCACGTTCTTGCCCTTTGCGCCAAAAATATTTAAACCAAATAGCAGTTCTACCGACTGAATAGCACTCCTGCCGACTGAATACAATTACTGGGGGGGGGGGGTGTCACACCCCCCCACACCCCCCCGTAGCTCCGGCCCTGCTTACATGTGATATACAGTAAGGCCGACTTCCAGGCCCTTACAGTATTGTCCATCTTAGTATTGGAGCTTATTATACTTTTTGATCAAAATAAATTTAGATTAGAAAATGCATCCTGTGCAAAAATCTACACTCTACAGACACCGAAGTCTTTAAAAATATAGCTTTATCTAGTTTGCGGTTTAGTAGTTACTTCCGCTCTGCACAGCCTTTTTAATTAGGCTAACTGTTTATTATATCGAGTTAGTTTTTACTACTTGTATGTTTTCAGATCGATGCATGCAGGCAAAATTAATATGCCGCAACTGCTTCGCTAAATTGTGGTTTAAACAAATTCCATTCACGATCCAACGCTTTGAGATTCTTTGGGAAGTTTAGAGGAGCAATATAAAGTCGCAAATGCATGCTGCCTCGAATAGTCCAGATAAACACACGATAGACTGCATGTTCAAACATTGGATAGTACATTAATTTACTATACTTAAACCAACTTCAATGCATACTTATAAATATGATTTCAGGCAAATAATACCAGTAGTAAATTATTCCGATTAATAATCTATTATGACAAATATGACATAGTAACATACCTGCTATAAGCCAGTGCCCCTCATTGAACAGCAAACGCTGTAAGCAGGGGCCGCGGAACCGGGGGGGCAATGGGGGCATGTGCCCCCCCACTTTTCTTAAAAGTGAAAAAAGTGCCCTTTTTTCTGGGCTAAAATGCCCCATTTAAAGAACGAAAAAAGTATTTCTTGAATAAACGCTCTCTTTTTCTGGAAAGAAAATGCCCTTTTCGCAGTAGTAAAGACTCTGTAAAGGCCATTTCCGACGTTAGAGAGACTCCATATTTTCAAAAATTTTCGTTCGGCTCGTGAACGTCATAAAATCGTTTGATCCTGGTCATATACAAAAGTGTCCCTTTCGGTCAATGCCCCTCCACTTTCGAAATGCTTCCGCGGCCTCTGGCTGTAACGTATAGCGATCCTCACATTTCGTGCACAACAAGTTTGGAATAGGGTTGATATATGTGTAATGATCAAAGAGAAATATTTTCGTACGCGAGACATTAAGGATGTTATCTGAAGTTCTTCCGGTTTCGATAATACTTTATATGCAAATATATATGACACAATGCCCATGTGGATAGATTTCGGAAGTCTATATGCATGGTGAATTCGGATAACTTCGTTTGACCGTTTGATGTCAATCGTTTGTCTGCCCTTCCTAGACTGACACGAACTGAATGCAGTCCCTGAGTGCCTCATAGTTTTATTCATAAATTGGCCTTAGCTATAATTTGTTGCGTGTTGTACGTGTTTGTAGAAACATGATTTCCTATCGGATAAATAATTGAAATTTTGATTGGGGTGATCTTGGGTTAATTTGCCTTCGTCGTTGATAAAGATTGTAAGTACTTAATTGAATTTGATCTCGTGAAGGTGTTTGCCCATTTGAAAGTTCTCTGGTTATTAGAACTATTGTGTTCACCCTCATTATTTGAAATCTATTATGGGCAAATTGGAATGTTGCAACTTGTGGTCAGAGTATAGGCTAAGCGATTAGAGAAGGTATTTGGTCAATTATTTATCCATGCATCGATTCAAATGATCTGATAGTTATTTTATCATTAGTTATTTTACTTTGGGACACTCTGAATAATATTCCAAGTTCAAGTTAAAGATTGGTACTTGTTCTCCTCATCTCTGGTATTGCTCAACTCAGTATAAGTAGACTCGTCGTCATTTACAGCCTCATTATTTGCAGCATTCACTCTCAACGATTGATAATTATCTTCTGTATTCATTTTTGAAAGATCAAGCTCTTGGTAAGTTGAATCAACTTCAGTTGTCTTTGGTTCGGGGTTTAATTGAGATCCTCTGTTTCTCAACGATTGATAATTGTCTTCTGTGTTCATTTTTGAAAGATCAAGCGCTTGGTAAGTTGTATCAACTTCAGTTCGTTGTGGTTCAGGGTTTGATTGAGGTTTTGTGTTTCTCAATGATTGATAATTATCTCCTGTATTCATTTTTGTAAGATCCAGCGCTTGGTAGGTTGTATCAACTTCAGTCGTTTGTGATTCAGGGTTTTGTTCAGATTTTCTGTTTCTCAAACAACGACGACGAGAACACCAGACAATGTAAGAAAGAATAATTACAATAATAATTCCAGATACCGATGTTACCGCAATAATGTACCATTCGATTCCACTACTACTCGCGTCATTTGAAGGTGGTTTGTCTAAATATACGAAAAAAACACAGAAATATATATCAGGGGAGGGGGCAGCGAGGAAGGTAATCTCCCCATTCTAACACTCTGGTAAAAGTATAGGGGAAGCCAGACTGAAGCAAAATTGTATTACGCGTTCGTTTGTTTCCTGTTTGTCTTCCACCAAAACAAAATATGTTGGACATTCAGTGGGAGAGAGTTACAACAAAGTCGTCTGGCTGGGAGGGTTAAGCTAAATTGATACATGAATAGTATGACTTGATTAATTGTTCTTGTGATGATTGCGCAGGCATAACCCGAGTGCGATAATGTGATGTATTGTGATATTGCCAAGACCTGGGTGAATGCCAGTGTATCGCCACCCAGGCCAAGTCCCATGTGTTTTGTGTTTAAAACCAAGGTTATGTTCTCATCAGGCTCAAAGCATAACCGGGAAAGCACGTTTCGAATGAAATATATTAATAGTTTAATACATTTATTTGCTTTTTGACTACCCTCCTACCCTCTTATTTTCTCCTTAATTTTTCTCGCTTGCTTATTATTTTGCCAGTAGGGGCGGCAATGCCGTGCAGCATGTAGATTGGGACGAATAAACATGGCGATGGCAGACGAAGCAGATATGGAATTTGTTTCGAATATTAAATAGCCTGCGAGCAGGCTCTCTGGGTGAAAGAGAGCCTGCAAGGATCCCTATAATGATTGCGTGCCACCTTTCAATTAGGATGTCACAAGTCAATTAATAATAACCAATCAGCGCAGACCGGAAATACACTGCAATATTGTAAACATAAACCGATGAACGTTGAACAGATTCCTTATTCTGTGTCCATTTTACTAAAAAAGTTAAAACGGCTCGCGGTTTTACAGTGTGACAGTGTAATATATCAAGTTGTACTTTTAGTTATTACAATCTGCATGTGTTTCTGTGGGCACAGTAAGTTTGAAGTTGTATATTACCCGCTAAGTAACTAATTCAGTTGTTTGGAATTGCTTCGTGCTGCAATATAATATATATATATATATATATATATATATATATATATATATATATATATATATATATATATAT